ACAACCTCTCCAACACTTGTTATTACTTGTCTTGTTGATAACAGCCATTCTAACAGGTATGAGGTGATATCTCATTGTAGTTTTGATTTACATTTCCCTAATAGCTAGTGAAGTTGAGCATCTTTTCATATATCTGTTGGCTACTTGTATGTCGTCTTAGGGGAAGTGTCTGTGTAAGTCTTCTGTCCAATTTTTAATTGGGTTGTTTGCTTTTCAGTTGTTGAGTTGTATGCATTATTTATATATTTTGGATATTAACCCCTTGAGAGAGGTGTTGTTGCAAATATCTTCTCCCATTTAGTTGGTTGTCTTTTTGTTTTGTTGACGGTTTCTTTTGTTGTGCAGAAGTCTTTTAGTTTGATACAGTCCCATTCATTTATTTTTGCTTTTACTTCCCTTGCCTTTGAGGTTAAATTCATAAAGTCCTCTTTAAGACCAAGGTCCATAAGTTTAGTACCTATGTTTTTAATTGTAATTAATTGTTTCAGGTCTTATATTTATGTCTTTGATACATTTTGAGTTAACTTTTGTATGTGGTGACAAACAGTAATCTAGTTTCATTCTTTTACCTGTGGCTTTCCGATTTACCCAGCACTATTTATTAATGATGCTTTCTTTTCTCTGTTGTATGTTTTTGGCTCCTTTAAAATTTTTTGCCCATAAACATGTGGGTTTATTTCTGGGCTCTCAATTCTGTTCCATTAATCTGTGTGTGATTTTATGCCAGTATCATGCTGTTTTGATTGTGGTTGCTTTGTAGTATAATTTGAAGTTGGGGAGTGTGATACCTCCGGCTTCTTTCTTTTTTCTCAGGACTGCATTTGCTATTTGGGGTCTTCTTTGGTTCCATACAAATCTGATGATTTCTTGTTCTATTTCTTTGAAAAATGCCATTGGGATTTTTATGGGGATTGCATATGGCCATTTTAGCTATGTTGAATATCTTTCCATCTCTTTGTATCTTCTTCAGTCTCTTTTAATAATGTCTTATAATTTTCAGTATATAGTTCTTCACATCCTTTGTAAAGTTTATTCTTTGGTATTTTATTCTTTCGCAAAAGGAATTTTTTTTCTTTTTTAATTTCTTTTTCTGAAATTTCACTGTTAGGATATAGGAATGCAGTGGATTTTTGTACATTGATTTTATATCCTGGAACTTTACTGTGTTTATTGTTTCCAATAGGTTTTTGGTGGCGTCTTTAGGGTTCTCTATATAAAGAATCATGTTCGCCCTAGCCAGTTTACCTCAGTGGATAGAACATCGGCCCACAGACTGAAGGCTCTTGAATTTGATTCCTGTTAAGGGCACATACCACTGTTGGTCGGGGCTCAAGGGAGGCAACCAATTGATGTCTCTCTCTCTCCCTCTCCCTCCCTACCTCCCTTCCACTCTCTCTCTGAAAAGCAATAGAAAAAATATCCTTGGGTGAGGATTTAAAAAAAAAAAAAAAAGAATCATGTTGTCTGCAAAAAGTGACAGTTTTACTTCTTCATTCCCAATTTGGATGCCTTTTATTTCTTTCTCTTGCCTGATTGCTCTGGCTAGGACTTCCAGAAGTATGATGAATAACAGTGGTGAGAGTGGGCATCCTTGTCTTGTTCCTGATCTAAAAGGAAAAGCTTTCAGTTTTTCACCATTAAGTATGATATTAGCTGAGGGTTTATCATATATGGGCTTTATTATGTTGAGGTACTTTTCTTCTATACCCATTTATTGAGTGTTTTAATCATAAATAGATGCTAGCAAATTGAATACAATGATACATTAAAAAGATAATACATCATGATCAAGTGGAGTTCGTTCCAGGGGCACAAGGATGGTTCAACATATGCAGATCAATCGTGTGAAACACCATATTAACAAAACAAAGGATAAAAATCATGATCATATTGTAGATGCAGAAAAGGCACTTGACAAGATACAACACCCATTTATGATTAAAACTCTTGCTGCTTTTACAGATTCATAAGACTACCTGACTCATTCTCTCCTAAAATTCATGGGGAAAATGTTTTCTTTTTATAAGGTACTAATGAATTGATATCTAAGATTTATGACATTTCCTAAGTAATTTATTCATGTCAATAATTTAAATATAAATCATTTTTAACATTAAGACCAACCTCTGTTTAATACAAGCTCCTGCCCGGCCGGTGTGGCTAAGTGGTTGAGCATCAACCTATGAACCAGGTCACTGTTCGATTCCCTGTCAGGGTGCATGCCCAGGCATGCAGGAGGCAGCCGATCAATGACTCTCTCTTGTCATTGATGTTTCTCTCCCTCTCTCTCCCTCCCCCTTCCTCTCTCTGAAATCAGTAAAAACATATTTTTTTAAAAATTACAAACTCCTAACCAGTATTTTTAAAACTACCATTATAGGCTAGTCAGTCATTACTAGGTTGTAGAACCTTCTATGCTTTTTTATTATTATTATTGATTGATTTTAGAGAGAGGAAGGGAGAGAGAGAAACACCAATTTTGTTATTCTACTTATTTATGTATTCATTGGTTGCTTCCTGTATGTGCCCTGACTAGAATCGAACCCGCAACCTTGGCATATTGGGACAATGCTCTAACCAACTGAGCTACCCGGGCAGGGCTCTTCTTTGCTTTATATATACCAGGAATCTAGGCTCTTAAACATTTTTAGTAAGGTCCTGAAGATAACATCATGTCTCACATTTTTAGTAGCCTCTAGGAAATACCCCGAAGAACCCAAATTGAAAATGAATATACAAATCTTTATGTTGTGGCTGTGGTCCCAGGGAAATCTAACCACTACCAAAAATTTCTCTTCCATGCTTAACCCATACCTCTACCAAGTGACACATTAAATTTGTCAAATTCAATCTTTAATACCTAATTTAGATTTATGGGTCTATAGAAGTAATGTGGAAGAAATTATAAAGCTGTGCTATCTATTTAAATCAAAATTTAAATTAATTAAAGTAAATAAAATTTAAAATTCAGTTCTTCAGTTGCATCAGCCACATTTAAAGTACACATTAGCCACATGTAGCTAGTGGCTACCATACTGGACAACACAGATGTAGAATATTATTGGACAATGCAGATATAGAACAGTACAGAAAGTTTAATTTGACAACATTGTTTAGAAAGTACTGATACAAAAGACACTTTAGTTGATAGTGATATATATTTATATATAAAAATGCCCATGTGATGGCTTCTCAACAGGAAAAGAAACCAGATTGTTTATAAAAAGAACCTATAATTTCATTTATTGTCCCAAAAAAGTGCCTTTTAAATTTATAAATTCCACTTTCTTTCCTCAAACTCTTACCCTAAAAGATTTACGAATGCTAAACTTCTAAAGGCTACATATGCAGAATTGTATGTAGAGCTAGTTCCGTATTCCCAGAATTTCTTCGATCCATCTTGTGCTCTCTTCCCTTCTACACATTTGCATATTAGCTTCTCCATAATGTGTTGACTTAAATGTTTAGCATATAGATAAAGAGTAGGGCAAAAGTAGGTTTACGGTTGTGAGTATACGAAGCACAGTTTATTCTTGTCTTATTATTTATTATTTTAGTATTTTCCATGCAGACAACTGTAAACCTACTTTTGCCCCACCTTGTATATGTATTTTTTAAACTTCTGTCTAATCTACTGACTGTAGCTTCATGGTGAACAAAGGCTAATATATGGCCCTTTTTGTGTATCATCTTGAGGTAAAGCCTTTAAGTGCCACTTATACGCCCCCATATTTTTCAACTTTGTATAACAAAGTGGTTTTCTTTGTTCTTAAGGTAATATGGTGTTCTTTCTTCTTAAGGAAATATGGTTGCCCATCCCTTAGTAAGAATGATTAAATAATTTTTCTTCCCTCATATTTTTCAAAAGCAGACCCTTCTGATAAATTCTGTTCTATAATGCATGCCTCAGTGAAGGGTTAGGATGGGCCTGCAATGTCTTGTGCCAGAAGTAAAATACTCAAAAAATTGTGGGGACATTATATCAAAGAACATAGGAGCTAGCCTGAAGGGGGTTCCACTAGCCAAATCTGGGGGAAATTAAGTGTAGTAATGAATTATAAATCATTGAAAAAATAAGAACCTGTGAGTTTATATGGATGGATGGATGGATGGATGGATGGATGGATGGATGGATGGATGGATGGATGGATGGATGGACGGACAGACAGCTGGATGAATAGGTGGATAAGAAAGGAAGGCTGTTCTTTATAGTAGAGTGTTTACTGATAAATGTGGATGGATTGGGGAAGCTGGAAAATTACCATCTCACAATCATCATAATAAAGATTGGTTTAGGCAAAAATTATCAGTGGATGTTAAATATAAGGGCAGAGTTTATCAAGGAACAGTATGTTTACATAGTTTTAATTGTTTTCCCACATACTGCTTCTAAGTTACAAGGAGGAAAATAACTATAGAATGGAAAACTATAGAGAGGCAAATGGACCTCTGGATGTGATACCTTGAAAGACATTCAACATCACTTATTTCATATTTGTATGTAAGTGGGATGCATAAGCAGAATTTAATCATGAGGAAACATCAGACAAAACCAAAATGAAAAACTTTATTATTTTTAAGTGGCCTGTATTTTTAAAAATTTCAGTGTCACAAAAAATGAGGGAGAGGAGGGCAGGCAAAACTGAAGAACTATTCCAGATTAAAGGAAACTTGAGATATGACAATTTAATGCAAATCTTTGATCTAGGATGGGATCCTGGACTAGAGGTGAAAAAAATAATAAAAAGGACATAATTGGGACATTTGCCATAATTGGGATATGGCTAGTAGATTAGAAAAGGTATTGTATTGATGTTAAATTTCCCAAATTTGGTAACTATGGTTGTGTTAGAGAATACCTTTGTTCTTAGGAAATACACAATGAAGTATTATGGCGTAAAGGGGCATGATGTCTATAACTTATTCAAGTCTGGCAAATTTTCTGTAAATTTGAAATTGTTTTAAAATAAAAATTTTTAATTCTATTCAATGTTTTCTAGCCCTGTCTAAGGCACAAAATGACATGAAGACAATGAAAATGCAGTCAGAGAGTCTTTCAAAAGAATATGACCGACTCCTAAAAGAACACTCAGAACTTCAGGTAGGTGACATCCATGTTGTAGGCCTAAATTTTTTGAAATTGTAATTACTTAAGTCAACTATTTGGGTTATTTGCCCTTCTCAAATCAAGGTTGTACTGAATCATGGCTTTGTTAAGTGATTAAGGAAGCCAGAATTTACCTAGATGGTGAAGATTAGGATATTGCATGAAAATACAAGATAATCATATTCACTTTCTGTATCCTACTTGAGAATCAAAAGATTGCTGTAGACCATCTTCAAAGAAGTTATATCAAATTGTCTTTTATGAATTTTACTTCTGTTGTCAAATCAACCTTAATAATTGCATTATATCCTAAAGTTCTTTAGGAAACTTAGCTTTCTTAATTTCACATAGTTGATTTACTTTAAATGAAATAATCAGAAAATAAGGGACTATAAAATATTAAGGAAACAAAGGTGGATGAGTGGGGAAAGTCCCACTTTGCAGCTTTTAAACCTGTTTGGATTTCCTCATCTGGTCTCCTTCCTGTTATAGGCACTAAATAAATATTAGAAAACAGTCCCTTCAAAACATCTAGCCTTTGCCTTTCCTTGTTTGCACTTGCTCTCTTCTAGAAAAGAAAAAATAGAACTAACTAAGGGTCATTAACAGCACAAATGCATAAGCACCTGCCAGTTTTTAACTTTCATTTTGGAAAATCACCCTTCACTTAAGTAAGGGACTTGTCCAGAAAAACAGCTCCATTAAAGCTGTGATTTTTATTTAACGTGGTAAGATATATATAAACTGCCACCTCTAATCCTGTCTTCTGATTTGGTTGTTTAAACTTAATGTTATAAAGCTATTCTAAAAGCATCAACAATCAGCTTGAACAAGATTTTGATGAACTTCCTGTGTACAAGCAGTAACACTACAACTCCATTTTATGAGATTTTTTTACTCAGGGTAGACTTTTACCTTCTTAGTGCAAATGATCTCTTAAGATTAATTTCTACTCCATTTTCCTCCAGTTTTAAATGATGTATATAGTCATCTTTTAACATGATCAGTAAAGAGTATAATTTGATAAGCTAGTTCTATTGGCAAATATCGGGGGGGAAGAAAAAAAAAGGCCTTCCCCATTTGTTCTTTTTGGTTCCCTTCATTCTTTCTCTGACGAAAAATCTTAATTGAGTTTGCAAAAGGAATTTTTGAAATTTTGTTTCCCTGATACAACTATGAAATAAAGCAAAATAGATTAAGGCGGGGTAAGAAAAACTTATCAAATTTATCAAGAGCGTTATTTTCCCCTCTAGACTTTTTTTTCTAGTAAAATCCACCAATTTTGTAGTTTTTAAAACTTGAGACCTTCTCAATCCATATTTCACTTTTCATTGCTCTTATTATTAATAACTATACACAGAAAAGAGAATTTTTTAAAGTCCTTGACGTATCTATGAATGTGTTTCTCACTCTTTACTGTAACCACTTAAGTCAGTTTTTCTTGCAGGATCGTTCACGGAAAGACAAGAAAAGCCTCTGAACTGTATGAAAGAAGATCGTGATACACCATGTCAAGATGATAAAATTGTTATCACGTTAGCCTCTAGAAAATTTAAAATTTAGTTCAGAAAAATGTACTATGACTGGCCAATATTTTTTGAAATTCCATACGTAAGCTGTTATCATAATGGCATTATCACAGTATTTGATGATGTTTCACATATATTGTAAAGTCTATATTCTGGCTCTTAAGTAAAATATAAGCATGTTAAACATTATTTAGATAGTCATAGTAACACTGCTGTATGGTGGCTGTTTACCAATAGAAAGAAAAATTCATTAGCCAGTTACTTCCAAAATTAGATTTTTAAGTTGCATGAAACCATTAATAGCCTTTAAAAGCTTTGATGAGTTTCCACTAATAATAACCTATTTAATCAGATGATGCTAGTGATTATGTATTTGAGTATGTATCTAGTATCAGCAAACTTGTTCATAGAGAGATTAAATAAGGATGAATGATCAAAATTTGCCACTATATTAATAGGGAAGGGTCAGAAAGAGCAAAAAGTAAAAAACAGTGACCTTAAAGCCTGATGGTACATACTATGGTTTACTCTCATAAAACAACTTTTTATAATTATATTTTTGTTACTATGCTTCTGCACCTGTTGGACTATTTTTGTTGACATTTGTGTTAATAACTAGTAAGCAATCAACCTTTTTAAAGGTCATCTAGCAGTGGAGTTTACATCTATTTGCACAACTGTCACAACACTGAACTAAAATTATCTTACGACAATTTGGAATTCTTGAATCAGAAAGTTAATGTATAACATATCCAAAAAGCAAGTATTTCCCATTGCTGTGAGAGTTACTGATTATTCAGATATTACCTCAAATATACATACACCGGTGTCAGAGTTTCTCTGACATGTTTTTGTATTCTGAAAGCTAAATATTAAATACTATTTTTCCATTCAAATATTCATTTAGAGTTTCCTTTAGAAGATGATAATGATTATAGCATTAATATGATTTAGGTTGTTCCAGTGTTTAGACATGGAAATTGTCTTCCTTGTCTCATAAAAACCTAAATATAAAAGAAAATGGAAAATAATTACTAGAGTTTTTATTTTCCTGATACTTGTTTTATCTTTTGTTGTTTATTTTCATTTTAGCACCAACTTCACACATAATTTTTTTCATTGTAAAATGGATGAAATGAGCAAGTACGTAAGACTTTTATCTCAGATAAAAGCCAAGAGTTAACACTAGAAAACAACATGTAGGAGACATTTAACAGGAGTAAGAAATGGGAGTTAGACCATCTGGACTGACAGTACCATAAATAACAAGAAAAGGGAGTGCTGGAGCAGGACAGAACTAAACAAATGACAGCTCAAAGTGTCAACTTAGAAATATCAAAGTTAGAGCTACATGGGTATATACATAGCGAGTGAGTGTGATTCTGGCTTACTATACAGAAATCAAGTTTAATGACAGAATAACATACAGAAAAGGAGAAGATATACACCTTTAGAATTGGCAGACCTAAAATCTAATCCCAGCCTCACAATAATTTAGCCGTGTGATTTGAACAAATTATTTAAACCTGCTAGACTTCCATTTCCTCAATTCCAGAATGGGAGTAATAACGTTTAGATCAGACTGCACAGCAAGGAGAAAGTCTGGGTGCTCTTTGAAGAGCATGAGGATTGAAAGATTTTCCCAGATCACTTTAAAGTGTACATTTAAGTAATCTTAAACTTCAACTTTTAATTTTACAGATGGGCAACCTGAGCCTCAAACGTTTGAGTCATTTTCCCAAGGTAACATGAATGGTTAGATTTGGGGCCCGATCTGAATCTAGAATTCAGGTGTCCTGGTTCCCCAGAAAATACTCCAGATTTTATAAACAAAAACTACCTATATAATTTACTAAACAAAATATTGCCATGATTTATCCCGGGTTTGAACCAGGGACTTTGGATTCAGAGAATCTGTGTACTTTACCACAATACCAAGCTGCCTCTCCAATATGCTTGTTAGTTCTTATTACTCTCCTTGCCAATGATGGTGTTTAGCAAAAAATAAACATGTATTCTCAATTTAGTAACTGTGCATTATGTTTCTTTCTGTTGTCAGTAATGACTTCTTTATGTCTCAGAAGGGCTAGGCTGTACTACGGGTTCAAATGCAGGAGTGCTGTTCTTGTCCTTTTCTATCAGTTACATAGAGTTTTGTCAGACTCGCTCCCTACTTACAAATCTACCTTGAGGCTCTGGGCTCCAGGAAGGAGCACTTCAGAAATTCTAGCCAAGTACTCTAGGATGTGGTAGGAGTCACCCTCATTGCTTATCTGACTATATCTTGTACCCCAGTACTGGTAACTAGAGTACCTTGAACCCCCCAATCTAGAGCCTGGAGCTTAACTCTGATACTGTCCTGATGCCACCAGTCTGCCAGGATCTCTACATAAATATCCATGCTTGTAGTTCTGGTGGTGGGTCTCTGCTTGTCTGTAGTGACATCCCTGCTTCCTCCTTGGGCCTCCCAACCACAGCCACTTGGATGTACCTGCTCCCGTTTTACTCTACCTCTATAGGTTAGCCTGGCCCTGCATTCCCATTCCGTTGTCCACTGCCTTCTCACTATCCTTCCCATCCTTGTCCCACCACAGCCCTACTGACGTGTGATATACCTTGTGTTTGAATGCCCACTAAACATACAATGTGTAAATATATTAGCCCTTTTAAGCATTGCCTTTACTATCAAGAATGGTATGTCTAAAGCCCATGAAGCCCTTCTGAATTTTTTGTCCTTCAGCCTACCTTTCTGAGAATTCTTGAAAACCCACTTAACAAACTCAGTTTTCTTTTTTTAACATTTCTTTCTCTATAATCAATTTACTAACCAGCATTAGTACCTTCACAGTGTTGCTTTCCACCTTGGTTTCTAAACAAACATAAAACTTTATCACTCTTTCCTTCTATAGCCAAAAGTGATTTCAACACTATAGAACTGAATAACAGTCCCCCAAAAGACACCCATATCCTCACCCTGGGAATATTCTCTTCTATGGCAAACAAGTGAATATTACTTTATATGGGAAACAACATGCCTAAGTTAAGGATCTTGATAATCTGGGTGGGCCCTAAATGCAATCACAAGTATCGTTATACGAGGCAAAGGAGGATGCTACTACACAGAAGAGGAGATGGCGCTGTGGCCACAGAGGCAGAGATTAGAGTGCTATAGCTGCCAGAGCTGGAAGAAGCAAGAACAGATTCCTCCCTAGTGCCTGCTGAGGGAGAATGACCTTGTAGGCACCAGTAAAACTGACTTTGGACTTCTGGACTTCAGAACCATGAGACAATACATTTGTTGTTTTCAGCCACCAAGTTTGTGATAATTTGTTAGCAACACTAGGAAACTAATGCAGGAACATACAGGTAATGGGTTGGATTGAATTTCTCAATGTGTGGAAACATACCCGTTAACACCAGTCCTATCTTAGTTCATTTTCTCCTTCAATTTTATTTCTCTCCATTCTCACTGCTACTACCAAACCAAGCCATTTCTCACCTGGACCACTATGACAACTTCCTACTACTCTCCTGCATACTCTCTTATTCCTCTCCTATGTACATACTGTCATAAGTCACATCATCCCCTGATTGAAGTCTTCCAACCATTTCCCATTGCACAATATCAAACTCCCCAAACCTCACCAGACTCCTCACCAGGCACCTACTCTGTAGCCTCATCTCAGTCAACTTTGCCTGCCAACCACACCTGCAGTCAGATTCTTCTTGGAACAAGCCAAGTTCTTTTCCCTCTCAGGGCTTTTGCATACACAGTACGTCCTGTATCCTATCTGTCTGGAGCAGTTGTCACTGTCTGAAATTATATCATGGTTTGGTTTTGTTTCCTGCCCAGTGACTATGTAGTTTCTGTACAGGGTTGAACAGTTTCTCAATAGGGAGTGGAGAACAAGGGACATTTAGCAATGTCGAGAGATGTTTTTGGTTGTCACTACTAAGAGGATGCTTTTGACGAGTAGAGGCCAGGGGTAGTGCTAACTCACTCTACAATGCATAAAATACCCCCCCTCAAAAGAATCATATGACCCTAAATGTCAATATTCCCAAGGTTGAGATACTCTGGAAAAGATGCTTGTGGTACAGGGTACTAGTTTGCCCCCAATATCCATTATTTCATCTGTGATAATAGATACCCTGATATTTTTATACCCAGCTGCCAAGCATAAAAACAATATTTTCCAATTTAATTGTAGGCAGAAATAGGAAGGAATGTAACCTGGGGATACTTATTTTTATTTCTCTTCATTCTGCTGCCTGAAACAGACAACACCATCGTAGATCATGAGATTGAGGCCATACATGCTAAACCAACAAGATAGAATGATGTTCATATCCCTGGCACTACAGAGCACAATACCTCTCCTGAATCGCTTCTCAATAAACAGTTGAATAAATGAATGACACCAGATGTCTTTAGTGCATTGTTTCTCTTAATGGCCTAGATGAATAAAAAGCCAAAAATATGTTTGTTCTATATAGCACAAAACTATCAATCTTCCCCACCTTTCCTACTTGTGGGGTTTCATCTCTCCTGCCTTTTCTGTTGTTGTTCATCCTCACCTGAGGATATTTTTTCCATTGATTTTTAGAGACAGTGGGAGGGGCAGAGGGGGAGAGAGAGAGAAACATCAATGTGAGAGAGACACATCGGCTGGTTGCCTCCCGAAGGAGCCCAGACCAGGCAGGGGATCGAATCTAAACCCAGCTACATGCCCTTGTCCAGGAATTGAAGCCTCGACCCTTCGGTGTGCGGGCCAATGCTTTAACCATGGAGCAACACCAGCCAGGGCCTTCCCTGCCTTTGATGTTAGGATCATGATTGTAAATTATAGCCTCTACTTTTTCTGCCATTTCATCTTTTATATTTAATTCCATCTGCACCATGCAGTGTGCCCCCACTATGTCTGTGTACTTCACACCATTAGAGTTTGTAAGAGAAGACTCTTCTCCTCCTCCCTTCTCTTTACTGTGACTTTTGCCACAAGAACACTACACAAACAGAAAAGCATTCGTTTACATCATGTATACACACATAGTGCATAAGAGTTTGAGGTGTACTTGTGACAAAATTAGGAAAAACAAATTCTCACAGAGTTTGTTCTCATTGATCACCACTTTTCCTAAATTTGGGCAAAGAACATATTTGAAGTTTTGACTTGCTCCCACAAACCAGCTGCCTTCCCGGTTAGCCAGGTTTCTCCAGAAGTTGTATTGCTCCTTCAGAAATTTTTGTTCTCTCGGAAACATGAGCAATGGTAAAGAACTTCATTCTCATTCTCCCAAGGGCTGACAATTTCCCGAAACACAAACGACTTCTAGATCTCCACTTATCAGCAAAGAGCTTCCTGAAATAACCCTCCATGGGGGTTTACTTCCTGAAAAGTGGTTTGTTTGTTTTTTCCCTCTCTTGTCTTGAAACAAAATTGATATATGGCAAATAGAGACAATTTAGAAGTTACAGAAAAAAATTGAAATTTGCAGTTTGGGTAATACACATAGAAATACAAAAGTGGGATCATATAATGCATACTATTTAGGGGCCTGCTTTTATTCTCCCCACATGAATAAATATTCTTCTATGACAGGATTCTCCAGAGAACTTGCCTCCCAACAGGTCACACACACTGCCTGAGGGGGCAGGGTTTTCTCAAACTACACAGACTCATACTCATGCCCAGACCCTCACTTCCACCACTGAGAAATACTGACCTGCAGAACCAGTGTTAGTGATGAGACCATGCCATACCACCTGGTATGTGGGGGCAGAAAAGGGGGTGAAACCCACAGTCCTGTGACAGAGAATTTATCCCTGTTGTCAGGCATTTCATGGGGATCTTTATTGGCAGAAAGTGTTCTAGAAGGAGTAGAGCATTGTGATTACATGCATTGACTCCCTGGGATTAAATTTCATTTCCTTTATTTACTACCCACGTTGAGCCTCACTTTTTTCATCTTTAAAGTAACCATAAGCGCCTAGTTCCTGGACTTGCTGAGAGAATGAAATGAAGTAATAGGTATTGTTAACCTAAAAATAAAGGCCTTTCAAAGTGAGAGAGAGGTGGCAAACATTTGTTGAGGTCAATAAGAATTGCTATTCTGGAAGCACTGATTCAGGCAGAAGCCCAAATAATGTTCCAATGAGGAGACAAGGGCAAAGGGTATATATGAGAAGGGGAAGGGGAACAATTGCATCAGTAGAAGGGAGACATTTCAACTGGTGCAGATAACCCAGTGATGTCAACTCTAAACAATGTTTTTAATTTTCAATTCACTAGTCATCAGTCTGTTAGTCATAATAACTGCTTTCTTGTTATCTTTGCAAATAGTTCTTTTGCAAAGCACAAGGCACAAGGTTGTTTAGCCCTGTTCTAACATTCCCAGCATTTGAGACATAAGACATAAAAGGCAGTTCCTCAGTCGTGGCAGCTCCAGCTCCATTTTAAATTGGCTCTGTTTATATTATTGTTTACAACATAAAGAGCTTATTCTGGTGGTAAGTTACTTAAACATTATACAAAAACTGGTGCTGCCCTACCCCGTGTGGCTCAGTTGGAGTGTCGTCTTCCATGCACCAAAGGGTTTCAGATTCTACTCTCAGTCAGGGCACATGCCCGGGTTGTGGGCTCGATCCCCAGTCGAGGGCATGCAGGAGGCAGCTGATCAATGACTCTCATCATTGATGTTTCTGTCTCTCTCCCTCTCCCTTCCTCTCTCTGAAATCAATAAAGATATATTTTTTAAAAAGATAATCTGAAAGTAGATTTTATAAATACATTTTAAAAGTGGACCACCTATCCCTTGCCAGGTGATTCAGTTAGTTGGAGCATCGCCCTGTGCACCAAAAGGGTTTCAGGTCTGATTCTGGGTCAGAGCACATGCCTAGCCTAGGTTGCAGGTTGATCCCTCGACGGGGTGCGTATGGGAGGCAGCCAATTGATGTTTCTCTCTCTCTCTCTCCCCATTTCCTCTCTCTCTAAAATCAATAAACATATCCTTGAGTGAGGATTT